AGCGCTATTGTACTGTACGTTTTTGTAATCCCGTTAATCATGGTTAAAAGCCAATGTACTTCATAACTTTTCGTTTTGTAGAAACATTTGTTAGTTTTAAAACTATTAAAAATAAGATGTACACTATATTTTATTTGTTTAGAGGGAAGAGAGTTTCCACAGAGAATATTGCTGACGATGAAGATTGCACGTAAAATGCCACACCAATTTCTTCTGATAGCAAGATTGATAAGACTTTTACCTTTGTCCAGTCGTATGATATAAGCAGATAATTGACTTGATGACTAAACTAAGTGCAACTTAACGAAAACTCGCCTTCCAGAAAAACAGTTTCACTTTCCTGTGTAAAGTTATTCTGATAAAAGCAAAAATGACGGGCTATGTAAGCTTGTCAGTTTGATTGGCAAATAGATTGATTTCCTGTCGTACTCAGTTGAAGTGGTTGGTTGGTTTGTTTTCTCTTTGTTGCATCCTTTTCCTTGCTGTTCCTCGACATTGTATCCAAACTAAAGTTTGATAACACAACTGTAGAGGAGCTGGAAAGATGACTTAAGTGATATCAGCAAACATTCCATACCAGACTATCACAAGCGGTCCAGGGCCTTAATGAGTGGTTTTACTGACACTCTTAAGAACCTGACGACTCATGTCAATTTCACGCTCTCACAAGAAGCACAGGATCTCGTTGCAAGAAAATAAGAATTTCTTTGCTCTGTTATCGAGTGCTTTAAATTTTGTGGTCGACAAGGCCTAGCCCTTAGAGGGCACTGTGACTCATTTTCTCCTTCACGGACATACTCTATCTCGAATCATACTCCAACTACAACATGGATTGATAATAAAGGAAATTTTAAAGCCCTTTTGGAATTTAGGATCGACGCTGGAGACAAAGACTTGCAACAACATTTAGAAAATTGCAAGAAAAATGCTACGTGTACTTCTAACACAAGTCAAAACAATATCTTGTGAATTAAAGATTTTTTGCAACACCATATAGTCGCTGAACTCAAGTCACAAGAAATTTGTCCCATTTTTGCTATTTAGGCAGACAAAGTGACAGATAGTAGTAACTGGGAGCAGTTAGGGCTCGTATTGAGGTATCTTAAAGATGACAGTCCCATCAAAAGGCTAACAGAACTTATATAATGTGAATCTACAATAGGTGACTCAATTTGTTCCAAGATAGTCCAATCACTCACAATCTTGCAGCTTTAGGTCGGAAAATTGCCATGCACAAACTTATGATGGAGCTGGTAATAAAGGACTGTGCTGTTCGTTTTCAGGAGCTGTCTCCTAAAGCAATATACACTCACTACTCCAGTTATGATCTGAACGTGGCCTTGTCTAAGTCTTACTCACTTTCTGAAGTCTGTTGGATTATTTTTCAAGTATTCACCAAAGTGCTCTCGTGAGCTTGAACACACCATCACGCAAATCAACGAAGAGGCTTCTATGGAGATGAAACTCGCAAAGGTCAAAATGCTCTGTGAGACAAGATGGATGAGTTCCACATTCTGTAATGAGCATTGGTTAGTTGTCTTGAGGGTATTACTACAAAGCAACTGTGATCAGATTGGGACAGCAAGTGTGTCACAGAAGAAAACGGTATCTACAGTCAAATATCTACCACTTCATTCATTGTTGTTTTTTTCAGTGTGCCTTATTTTTGTTTAGGTTCACAAAGTTGTTGAGCATTTTGCTTCAGGGAAGCACTATGAATGTTGTCATTGCTTTCGAGGAGATTAACTTGGTGAAAGATCAGCTTAAGGAGATTCTATCAAACTCAGAAGAGGAGTTTCACAGTGTATTTAATGAAATGGAAAAAAATGGCCCAACTGGCAGCACTGAATGGAGTTTCTTTGCTGAGGAGAAGGCAGACCCTACGGAACAATGTAGAGGCAGAATCTACATAAGAGTATTAGAAACTGGCTGCTTTTGTTCCATATCTGGACAGTCTGATTTTGGAACTCTCAGCCAGATTCAGTCAAGTATCAACCCAGGCTATGCACTGAATTTGTCTACTACCTGCAAAGATCGGCAACTTGAGTGAAGAAAGACAGACTGATTCACAATGATATTATGCCAATGACCTCCCGGCTTTGTTATATTTCAATCAAGAAGTACGTTTTTGGAAACGCCATTGGGACAGATAATCAGAAAAACCTTCTATAATAAGATCAACTCTCTCTTCTGTGAATGTCAAGCTCTTTCCAAATATTGCTACCATTTTGCTGCTCTTGTTTCTCAAACCGATCACATGTGCAAGTGTGGAAAGAGCGAATTTGACTCTTAAGCTAATCAAAAGTGATTTGCGAAGTACAATGAAAAGGATTATCTGAATGCTTTGTTATTACTCAATATCTATAAAGATATTCTACTCTGTTTGATAAAATTGTTGGTATGTACTTTAAAGAATCCGGCCCTATAAAAAACCTGACAGCTATGTTCTTAATTTTTTAGCTTATAGCATATATTTTCTGTATTTCAATTGCACTTTTTTGGAGGTTGGTAAGAAATGCTTGATAAATTGTTTATATCAATATTTTGTCCTTGTGAATAACTTCCTCCCTGTCTAAAAGGGTTTTTAGATGACAAAAATGGTCTCTTTACAGAAATATTAACCTCTTCTAAGCTGTTGCTTTGGTTTTATTGCCTGATTTTCTTTTTCACGTTTTTTTTCTTTCTATTTTTCGTCGAAATTTGAGTAGAAATAGAAGAAAATCTATGCTATACATCTTTATTTTGAGGTTCTAAATGGTTATTCTTATGAACTTTAGAATCTGACTTTTTCATGCTAGATCTACATGCTTCGTGAAATTTAAACATAGAGTAAACGTCACTGTTGATTCAACTTCAGAGTTTAATTGTACTAACGCACAACCATTATTGGATCTCATCCCCGAATCTTCATTGTTCTTTATATTACGTTTCAGAAGCGGTACTGTAAAGCCGATTCAGTATATGTTGTAAACTGACTGTTTATTGATGTGTTGTCTACATCGTCAATCTTAAGACTAGTTCTTTCTTAGTCTCATGCCATTATAAACAAAATTTGTTCCATTTTCTTTCTTCTCGTTAACTGATTGATCACTGGGCATCTTAAACGTAGATGAATAAGCAAGATATTCAGAAATCTCATTTTGGTGAAATACATGACCAATACTAAAGCTTTCATCATTCTTGTAGTCAAGTTCTGGAAAATAATTTGAGAACAAGTTACCTTCTGTCACCGATCCTATTCTACTAAACTGATGTTCATAAACGTCCTTTACCCTTCGTCTTTCCCTTTAAAGCTTTTTTCACTCTCACACTCTTCTTAATTTACAGTAATACACCATGTGATATTTTCCATACTTTCTTCTGCCATAAAGGAACTCTCGGGGGAAGTTGTCATGTTAGACCTAGAGCGCTTCCACCGACAATGAGGAAATCTGACAATAAAATAGCTCCTTTCTCCTTCATTAACGCTGGAACTCTCGCTTTCCTCATGACCGGACAGACTGCTGAAATCTTCTGAATTCTGTCTCTCTAAGATATAAGGATTAGGTCTGTAGGAATATGTAAGAGAAAAACTGTCAACTGAAGGAGGAATAACTCGATTATCTTCAATATCTAGAGAGTAATAACTTTCAATGTTGACTCGCTGGTAAAGAGAAAATATAAATTTATTAAAACATTTTATTTAACCTCAAAATATAAGTAATAAACATATGCATTCTAACACTGACTGGACTCATAAATTCAAATTTGTGAAATAAATACTAGTTGAATAAAGCAAAGTTATTTTTTTTATCTTAACTATATCCAAAACTTGTTTAAAAGGCTTGAAATAATCAATAAAGATACTCGTAAGTGTACAACTTGATCAATACGTTATTTCTAACAGTGGTATAGGAAGTGGATAATTTAATACAGAGCCCAAGAGCTTCCAGTGCCTTAAGGCGAGCCCTGGACCCCGGTTGTAATGGATGAGCCCTGGGAGCGCATTCCCTCGATCAAATAAACCTTGCCCCTCTTTTTTAACTTGCCTCCTACACCTCTGTCTGAAAAGAAAATGTGATTTGTCAACAAAATTCAGTACAGTTTGTCAATTAACAAAAAAGTACTAAATAAAATGTGGAGAAACAACACTCAGTGGGTCAGCAGAAAGTTTAGTATCATACAATGCTAAAAACCCTGGGTTCGATTCCCACGGTGGATAGAACGCATATAGCTCATCGTGTAGCTTTACGATAAAACAACAACTGCTAAAAATTCTTCTTTATCAGTTGTTAAAGCGAAAATCTGGAAAGGTGGAGGGAGCAATACCAAACCAACTTGGTCATTCCTTTTACAAAATTTTAACAAATTAACTATCCAGTAAAACATTTTATTTGGTATACACTGTGACAACTTAAAAGATTCGCCACACCCATCACTCTCAGATCCACCTAACTGTTGATAGTTAGGTAAAATTTAAATCCTACCTAGTGATGACCAATTTTCATGTGTAATCGTATGTTTATCTTTGTAGTTCCTCCAGAAACATTCAATTATCCTCCAATACTGTTTTAGGTCACTTGGCTCCTTGTTCTATGTAGCTAGGGCTCTCCTTAATGACTTTATTAGCTGGGGGTTAATTGGGCCCATCCTAACTTTAACAACTACATTTTATTTAGATTATATGATTTATATCTAGAATTATAATTGCCAAATGATGTTAAGACTATTTCACTTATTTGAGTTCTGATACTATTTAATGATTCAATACTCTCATTCCATACTTTCTGTTTTGAAACGTTGTTTTGATAATTGTTCAAAATACAAAATATAATTCTCTAATTTAAGTTTTGAAGGAGGATTAATATATTTTAAACCTCATGCTAACATTTTCTATTCCATTTCATTCAAAATATGGTAAAAAAAAAGTAAATGTCACGTTATTAAGATAATTAAGAAAATATTATTGACTTGGGTTTTTATTAGACAATAAGTCTATCCAAATGTTTGTCAAATCTTAATTAAGAGTTTATTATTTTGTGTTTTAATAAAGCTAATTTTAACTGTGAAAGACATCTTCATGTTTGCTTTTCAAAGTTTTACTTAACTTGTATTTCTGTGTAATTTCAAAATTTGATGTTTTGAGTGCTATAGTAATTAACTCAATTGACATTCTAAAATTAACAGATTTATATGTTATATGATTCGTTTTACAAAAATTCAAAAAATCATGGTGTAATTTATTCTTATAATAACTGAAATGAAATCTTTCAATTTTCTAAAATATGATAAAACATTTTACCATGTTGTTTAACAATAATTATAAGAATAGGTTTATTTGCAGGAAAAATTAAGTACCATAATAAACCTTAAATTTTATATAAATATATATAATTTAAGGGGACAAAACAAGACCTGTTGGTCAATTTAGGCTGTTTCATCCATTATACTAAACCCCAAATAAAAACAAAATACTTAAGGCAACCATTTCATCATTCAAATTTTTATCTTCCCCTAAATTCGCTTAAATAAACTATGCCTACCACATCAGAAAGGAACTCATTCCAAAGGACTACAACCCTGTTAGAAAACTAAAGCTGTTTTAGTTGAAAATGACTCCTACCCTTCCAAAATTTATTTTTGTGTTCCCTAATTTTACCATTCTCACCATTAAGTACGAAAAAAGGTGATGCATTAACACTATCAGTTCCATTACCAAGTTTCAGTACCTCTATCAGATATCCTCTAACTACTCTTTTTTTTTTTTAAGACTAAACAATTTCAGAGATCTTAGCCTATTCTCATATGACAACCTTTCCATACTAGGTATAATCTTAGTATCCCTACTAACAACCATCTATAAGCCAACTGCAGACCACATTCTTCTACAAATATAGTGCTGAATTTTGTGAACCCTATGCTATTATCGCATTCTAAAACTGATTCAAAACTAATATGTAGGAATTAAGAACTGAAATACATGCTACTGAAATAAAGCAAAATTATATTTCTTTATCTTTACTACATCCAAATATATTTAAAATCAATATTTTGGATACAATAAGTCTTAGAATAATTATTAAAGATACTTATGAGTGTTCAACTTGATCAATAATTATTTCTAAGCATGAGCTTAACGAAAAACTATTTTTGAGGTTGGGAGCCCAATACTGATCACAGTACTAAAAATGTAGTCGAACCAGTGACTTTATAACATTTTTAGACTTGTATTCAATATTTCTATAAATACAACCTAAAATATTATTTGCTCTGCCACGAGCAACAGCACATTGCTTGGATGGCTTAAGAGACTGATCAACCAGAACAACAAAATCCTTTTCTTTCATAAGATTGTTAAGGTTATTCCCATGAAATTTATACTCATAATTCAAATTGTGATGTTTTATACACATTACCCTGAATTTATTATGATTAAGAACGATCTGCTGTTTAATTGCTTAACTCACCAAATTATCCAAATCATTTTGTTAAGCAGCAGCATCCTCCTCGCAGTTAGCAACACCTAATACTTTAATATCATCAGCAAATTTAAATAAGTTATTGACCATTCCTTCACCTGTGTCTAATGTAAATCAAAAAAGGAAAGGTTCTAACACTGAGCCTGAGGTACCCAATTTGTGATATTAATCCAATTTGATTGAACCCCATTTATGAAAACCTTATGCTTTCTTTCATCAAGCCAGTTTTCTATCCAATGACCTAACCTATTCCACACATTTACAGAGATAACTTTTAATAAGCCTTTTATGTGGCACATTGTCAAATGCTTTCTGAGAATCTAGATACATCAAATCCACACCCATACCCTCATGTGAAGCAAGATTTTCCCTTAGTGAAACCACGCTGATTGTCAAACAAACTTTTAAACTATATTAATTACTTTGCAAAGCCATCTTTTATCAGATTTTCAAAACTTTTCCCACCCCTGATGCAAGTTTCATTAATTACAGACCTATTAGTGATGTAAGACTAATAAGCCTATTATTACTGAGACAATTTTTATCACCTCTCTTAAAAAGAAGAGTAACATTAGGCAACTTCCAGTCTTCTAGCACCTACCCATTATACAAAGACTTTGAAAAAATAGTAGCAAGTGGCTCACATATCTAATCCTTAACCTCCTTCTAAACATTTGGGTAAATACTAACTGGCCCAGAAGATTTATCATTTTAAAAAACCTCCTAATTTTTTCTAAGGCAGCTCAGAATTAATATGATAATTTCTTCAACCTTGTTTCCATTTAGCAGCTGTTTAGGACAAGGATACAACCTAAAATCCTAGTTTCTCTGCCACGAGCAACAGCACATTAATAAAAATTGAAAACAAAAGTATAATTTAATAATCCAGCCTTCCCATAATCATCAAAGGCTTTCCTCTCATACCAACATTATGCTTACCCTTAAGTATTTTAAAAAAATCATTACTATTAATGTTTACATTTTTAGCCAAACTTTTTCATAAAGTTTTTGATTTCCTAATTTCCAGTTTGATCAACTCTTAGTTTACCGGCTAATGTAACAAGTTCTAGGTTTGAAATTTTTTGTGTGTAGACTCTTCGCAACAATGTCCGAAATTATCTAAAGGTCATACTGATTCAGAAAATAATTGTTGCCCATTTTTCTATTAATGTACAGGAGATCCATTTTTAATTTCAAAAATGGCTGCCATTTTCAGCTATTTCCGACCAGGGGTTCCCAAACTTTTTAGAATCACGACCCACTATTCATGACCACAGCTTATGGCGACCCACTCAAATTTACTGGGAAAAAACATATGAAAGAATATAGAAAATATTATTTATTCATATTCACGTATTTCAATTACATTTAAAAATACTCACGTACTTTCAATAACATTTCCAGAACTTATAAATGCTATCTAATTGATTAATAATGAGGCATGTGTGAAGGATGTGCTTGTTTCTTGTTATTGTCAAGAATGGTATTGACATCAACATCAATGTGGGTTAGTTTCAGGCGTAAGGAATTTGACAATTGAAGTTTATTTCGGAATTTGTTTTTGATTCCTACCATTGCTGAAAATCCAACTTTACAATGATATGAAGATGAGAAAGGGAGAAGTACCTTCAAAGCTTCAGTGGAAAGGATTGGGTACGGTTTTCGAACAGACACCCAGATCTGTATCAGTTTTATGCTGTAAAAGTTCATTTCTAACGAAGCGTCCTCAGATAAATCAAAAAGTTCTTCCTCAGCTTTTGTCGATATCCCACTCGTTATGTCAGGCTGAAAGGGGTTCATAATCCATTTTTTCTCTCGTGAAGCCACGAAGCAGTTATCGTCTCGCTCAGCGTTGTACTGGTTTTATCAGTTGATTGCAGAATTTTAACATTTGATTGCAGAATCTGAACAATGGATTGTAGATTTCTATCATTTGAATGCAGATATCTAACTTTTGATTATTGATATCCTTTCTAAGAAGATATCTAACCTTTGGTTACAGAATTTTAACTTTTGATTGAAATAGCATATGCGTAGGAGCTGGGGGCGCATTATATCTGCATATAATCAAAGGATACCTAGAAATATAAAAAACTATAGATATCTATAATCAAAAGTTAAAATTCTGCAATCAACTGATAAAACCGGTACTATAGCTAAAGTACTGTATGAATAGGTGAAAATTGATTTCCTTTTTACGATGAGGAATGATTAAATTGAGAGCATGGTCAACCCTGATTCGTTAAGCTCGTCAAAACAACATACTACTTGATACAACAACAGCCTGGCAATGAAAGCCCGAGTCTTGAACTATCTCGACAGACAGCGTTTAATCGAAGCTAATGCGTAATTCTAGTATAACTTTTTACGACCCACTAACATTCTGCTTGCGACCCATAGTTTGGGAAACGCTATTCTAGTGCAACTATGGACTAGATCTAACCACTCACAAAATAAAATGTAGAGTTTCTAAGTAAAAGTTTACCAACTAGACATACCAAAAACGACGCCTTTTAACTGTATACCTGGTTAACTATGGTTTTGTCGACGAGGTCCAATGCTAACATTATTTCCATGTGAATAAAAATTTTATCTATAGTGAAATAATTCTGAATTTTAACAAAATGTTTTAGTATTTAGGAATTGATTAAATGGTCTCAAGTAATTTTAAGCTTTCTTATTCCAGGTAATCTAGAGTCATGTAAGCTAGAGAGCCCCCATCAAATATGAAAAGACAGAGACAATTGTTGATTTCAAGCGCTGCCTAAAATGCCAGGGTAACAAAATTATAAATGAAAATGGAAAATATGTGTTGGAACAGACAATTTCTCCAGATCTAGTGTTAATTGTACAAAAGTTTCTGGACAGTTTTAAGCAAAGAGCTTCTTTTGAAAATCCAGAGTATGTTTAACTCAATCAGCGATTGTCTAGTTTGTTGGTTGAAGTCTTTAAGGAGAACAACGCTGTGTGGCATAGAACATGCTACAGCGAAGTAACACACAAGAAACATGCAGAACGAGATAGACGGCGGTAACAAAAGGCCATTGCAATGAAAGATGCCAATGTGTTATCATACAGTAAAACTGGTAGACGGCCTACATCGAAAAGTGGGTCCGGTACATTGGAGGCCAACACATTGGAAACTGTTACCAAAACCTTACATTGTCCTGTGTTTCAGCATTCAATCGAGATTTGTGCTTCTATTGTCAAGAAGATAAATTTGGTACATCCCATAAACCAACAAAACTTTGTGCTTGCAGCAGCACAGATATTGGACAGTCCATTCAAGACATTGTTTCCAAAAGTGACAACAAGTTTTGAAAGTTGAATCGTGCTGACCTGCTCGCCGAGGGTGATTTTCTAGTGAGGGATATAAAATACCATAAAAGCTGTCAAACTAGACATTGGAGACATTTTGTACAAGGACCCAAGAGACAGAGCTGTAGCAAGGAGTCGTCAACACTAATGAGAATACCATCCAGTTCATTTCAGCTGAGATTGAATTCATAGCTGATATTCAGCAGCAAATCGATGAAGGAGAATTTTTTACTCTGAAAGAAATTTCCGACCTACACAACAATATAATGTGAGATCATCGTGTTCATGAAAAGAGGCTATCACATTATAAGTTGATTGAAAAAGTGATAAAGAACATATTGTTGCGTCATCGAGGTCACGTGACTGGTGTGGCGCCCTTTATTTTCTAGAGCTATCTTGTTT